CACATCAAAATTTTAGCTATTCAATGACCCCTCTTTGACAAATTTAACAACCTTCACCGCGTTGGTTTTTTTTTGTTTTTTTGTTTTTAACATTTCCATGAGATATAGCAGAATTATTTCTAGAGATGCCAAGTAGAATTCCTATTGATGTTGATTTCTAAGCACGTGTTATTAGTAGCTTTTAACAATAACAGCTTTGTTATGTTTTCTAGCCATAAATGCTGACTCTTTTACTCCTACCTCCTTTGTTATTTTTCCGCTTTAATAGATATTCACCAATGAGGCATTTTTTTTCCCCAGTTTTGTAAATATGTCTGATCCAGTGCGTGCGAAGTTAAACAACATCCTTGCCATCTTGCATAAACTAGAAGAGTTGAATAACTTACAGCATCCATCCTCTTTTTGGGATGGACCTCGAGCTCTCTATTGGATTTTAACTACACGAGAAACATGGCTTTGGAAGGTTCTGCAGGAGTGCAGATTTGACTAGAACTAGTATAATCCCAAAGAGTTGTAAATTTTATCAGCTGCTTTAGCCTTAAAAATCATATGCATTACATCTATTCATGTTTGAAGAGTGATTTTTCAACATCTGTGTAAGCCATTTTCTCTTTTGCTGAACCATATGCAACTAAATCTCATTAACAGTCTGTAGAGCAACTATGAAATTGTGCAATAATTTTTCATCCTTTGTTTTCATTTAAAAATGTTTGAGGGGCTGTTGACAAGTCCAGCATGCTGTGTTTCCAAGTGTCCTATTAGTTTTGAAGGTGTCATTGCAAATAATATATTGGAGTTTGTCACTTTGATTGCATTTTACACATAGAAAAAATGTTTTAATCTGCCTTCTACAGTCTTGCACTCTTCTTTTTAGAATGCACCTCATTCTAGATGAACTCGAAGCTTACTCTTATGGTCAATGTTTTCCTCAACATTGTCTCTACTTACAGTTCTAGATATCTGGAGCTTGAACTTGGGCATTCTTCTAATTTTCATTTCATCATTCTTTTTCTAATAGTAAAGAGAAATCCCATTAAAGGGAAATGCATGCCAATGTAATTAGATATATATATTTGATGCAAGCCTAAAACATATCCCACTTCATAAGGTCCTTTTCAAAAGATGCTTTATGATGAAAGCTGAATAATGTTATTATAAAATATAGACTCTGTTAATTGTCCTATAATGGTCATATTCACATCATATATCAGAAAATCAAATGAGATAGTTGTTAGCAGAGGATAGAATGACTTGTATTCGTCTACTGAAACTCATCATAGCCTTCCATTAACTTTCTTATTCTATTCATAGCAATTGGATGCAGTATTTCCAACAGCATTCGCAGTTCTTACTAAAAATCCAGTGATGTGTTCTCATACTTTCCATTCCATTCCATTCCATTCCATTCCATTCCATTCCATTCCATTCCATTCCATTCCCTAGTCTCCACTACTCTACTTTTTGTTTAAAAATTAAGTCCGGTTGTGAGCTGTTAGCTTTACAATCTACTAATGCATTGTGTCTTGCAAATAGATTGAGTAATGCTGGCATAGATAGTAAATATGAAAATAAATAGGAAGTTCGGAGACTGGCAGTGCTATAGAAATCTATAAGTGAACAATGGAATAGAATAAAGAAGTGACTGGGCGGGGGTTAATTCTGCCTGTGTGGTCAGGGAAGAGGTGACATTGACTTGTGCTCTACATATTTTGGACTACTGATGGGAATCTATTCATTAGTATTTGTGGGTCATTTAGACTATATTATTTAAAATGTGCATATTACTTGCTAGTTGTTTTGTGTATATTTGGTGAATCTCCAGCTAGAATGCAGCTTCCTGCAGGAAAAGTCTTTTTAAAAGATGCTTTATGATGAAAAGACTTCTTTTTCACTTAAAAAGAAGTCTCCCCCAGCATTCAGTTTTGTGCTGTGTGCAAAGTAGATGCTGGACAAATGCTGGTTCAAAGATGACTGTTGAGAATCACCGTAAATCTGGGCCTCCATCCTCATAGGTGGAGCAGATGAGAGCCTGTGCCAGGTGGTGAGAGTTGGGAAAGCCCTTGAATCCTTCTGAATAGCTCTCCATTATCGCCTGTGCCCGAAATTCCATAATTAGAAATTCACTCCTTTGTCTTTAAGTCTTTATCAATTAAGTCGTAACAACCATTTGTGGCTCCACTGAATGAGTATAATTTCTACAACTGAGTCATAGTTGAGTTGGCCTGGCTAATCCTTCCTAAGCACCAGTCCTGCAGTCTGGAGTGTGGCTGCAGGTGCTCAGGGCTGCCTGTCTGGACAGGAGGCCCTGCTGGGACACTCGGGCCCCTCTCACTGAGACAGCCAGAGGAAAACCATGCCCAGGGCAGGTGCCTGATTAGTGGTTTAGGATTAAAATAATGATATAAAGAGTGACTGACCATTAATTACTCACATTTCCATACTAATTTTGATTTTTTTTTTTTTTTTTTTTGCTTTTAAAGAAATACAATACCAAGGAACAAATTGGCTTCCTCGTTTAAACCTCCATTATCATCAATTTTGCCCAATTTACTCAAGCCATGGTTTGCTTCTCAACTCCACAGAGGATTCTCTCTGGTTTTACTGTGCGGTCAGAACAGAAGCCTTCCAAGGCAAGGCAGCTATGGCCACGCCTGGCCCCGGGACTGGCCGTCTGGCTCCAAGGCAGGGATTTCCAGGGGCCCGAGACTTCTGCTCTAACACGGGCACAGATCTTTGAAGGCTACACATATCTGCCTATGTGTGAAGCACTGATGAGAGAGAATTCCTCCCCATTTCTCCCTACCCTCAAAAAACCCCCCACTTTCCCCCCAGTGTTTAGACTCTGACACTGGTTTTCTCCAATTTTCTCACCTCTCACTTCCAACAGCAACATAGTCTTCCCATCATCTGTCCCTTCTGCTCCAAATTGTGGCCAAAAGATGTCTATGCTCTTTGACAAATGGTTTTGGGGAAAACTGGATATCCACATGCAAAAGAATGAATTTGGACCTTACACCATATACAAAATTAACTCAAAATGCATATTACGCCCAAATTTAAGAATGAAAACTATAAAGCTCTTAGAAGAAAACATAGGAGAAAAGCTCAATGATTTGGCAATGATTTCTTGGAAATGACACCAAACACAAGCAACAAAGGAAAAAGCAGATAAACTGGACTTCGACCAAATTAAAAACTGTGCATCAAAGGACACAATCAACAGAGTGAAAGGGCAACCCACAGAGGAGGAAAATATTTGCAAATCATATATCCGATAAGGGGTTAATATCCAGAATATATAAAGAACTACAACTCAACAACGAAAGGACGAACCACCTGATTAAAAATGGGCAAAGGATTTGAATAGACATTTCTCAAAAGAAGATACATAAATTCTCAATGAGCACATGAAAAGATGGTCAACATGACTAATCCATTAGAGAAATGCAAATCAAATCACAATATCGCCTCACTCCTATTACGATGGCTACTATCAAAAATCAAACAAACAAAACCCCAAATAACAAGTGAGGTAAGGATGTGGAGAAATTGGAATCTTTGCGCACTGTTGGCGGGAATTTAAAATGGTGCAGCTACTATAAAAAAACAGTATGGCGGTTCCCCAAAAAACTAAAAAATAGAATTACTGTATGATCCAGCAATGCCATTTTTGGGTATATACTCAAAAGAATTGGAAGCAGAGTCTAGAAGATATTTTTGTATAGCCAGGTTCATAGCAATCTTATTCATTACAGCCAAAAGGTAGAAGCTACCCAAATGTCCGTGGATGGATGAATGGAAAAAAAATGTAGTATATATAGTCCGTCCTACTGTTGTTCTGCATCTTTATATTCAACCAATTGCAGATCGAAAATTTTTGAAAACAGATGTTACGTTGTTGCTGACGTGTACTACATAGTTAGGCTTATTCGTTGTTCATCTAAAATTCACTTTTAATTGGGCATCCAGTAGTTTTATTTGCTAAATCTAGCATCCCCACGTGGGCCTAGTTACTAACACCTGCTTTGTGAACATCATCCTGTACTCTGTGAACAACATCCTGTTGGAGGTGGAAGCAGAGGAGCGGAAAGAAAAGATAGGACCAGTTCTCAGAGAGAGAGTTTAACGTCTGGTTTCCCAGAGAATCTTGCAACCAGAAAAAAGAATCTCCTGGACCGTTTCCATGGGTGCTAGATTAAATTTCTTAGCGCAGCCTGTGTTTTCCGGCTGCCTAAGGCAGCGTCGTCGACATTGACCTGTTCATAGAAGCACCGGAGACACTTCTCCCCTGGGGAGTCTGATTTCTTCCGTTTAAAGACAGATCCAGATGCCTGTGGTTTTAACAAGGGCCCAAGTGAGATTCTCCTGTTCAGGTAAGCCTATGGAGCTCTGGGAGGCATGGCGTTGGAGGCCTCTGACAACACTCGGCATAAAGTCACTGTCCCAATTATGTCCCTTTGAGGTCGCTTCAGATCTCTGTTCTTGTACAACCCATTTAAAATCATCGTGCAGTGGTGATTATCTTTTAAGTCGTTTTACAGTTTATCAAGTCCACCCCATTTGTTCTTCACTATACTTCGCAAGGAGAGCAGGGAAGCTTATTTCCGCTGAGGACAGGGGCTAAGTTCACACAGCGAGCTCGGGGGCAACCAGGGATGCAAAGCCCGCCCTTTTTCCACCCCACCAAGCTACCTCCTTTCTCCTGCAACACGTACGCAGGGACCACTGGGGTAGGATTTAGAGGTGACCTCGAGTTGCAGGTGACTTCCGCTCCCAAACCCGCCGGCAGCCCCCGGCCTGCAATTAAAAACGCCAAACGGGTGGCGGAGAGGTCCGTGTGTGGCTCTGCACGGGAACCGGGAGCTCAGCGGAGAGCGAGGCCTGGGGCCCCGGCCGCACGGCGCCAGGCACTCCCGGGGCGCAGGGGCGAGAACGCCCTCTCGTGGGTCCCCGCTGGC